ATACTAAAATAAAATAAATAAAACTGCTGTGTCAATTAAAATAAGTTTTGTTTTTGAACGAATTATTTATTTTTTTTTGTAATCTGTACACAACTGTTTCATAATACAATTGAAAAAATTTGAATAAATCCTTAACTTCTTCATTACCTAATGTATTTAACTCAAGTTGCAAAAAATATCACTTAACACCTGTGTGCGCTAGACCAACGATGTTTACCTCGCTAAAAATTCACTGCCGATTTTGGATAATCAATAAATCCGGCCATCAGTTTCGCGAACATTCATTTTAATTATTTGCAACAATGTAACACCTTTGACTTTGACATCTTTTGATCAAGAATGAACTGGGCCTGAAACAAATTCTAAAGACTATTTCAAGGGAATTAAAAAATTTAGTTTGCTTCTTCTCTGACCAAAGTAATGATTATGACATCAAAAACTGTATGCAAAAAATTGAAATCTTTGGTCAAAATATCTGATTGCAAAAAGTGCACTAACAAAGTGGGTGGCGTCAAACTGATTGAATCCAAAGAAAGCAGGCTCGCATTCAAATTCTCCCATGGAATATTCACTCCTGTTACAAAGCGCTTCTGGAATATTCGCTCTACAGGTATTCGCCTTCAAAGTAATCGCGAATGACATTGTCCAAATCCATGCCTCCAAAAAATCGCTTGTGGAATTTTCACGGTCGAACAGCTGGCTCTTAGAATCAAACATTCATACTCGGCAAATGCCACCCTGGAATATTTAAAGTTCAGGGAGTACTCAGCAGTACTCGAAACATTTTCTTGATTTAAACAGGATACGGTGATCGGTTACAGGCCCGATTGCGCGCCCTCTGCTGAATATGCCTCGAAGAATTAACTCCTCTCTGCATTATGGAGGGTGTTTTGTTACATGTTTTCGAAAAATCCAGGGAAAAGTGTCTCCAAAACCTCTAACGTCTTCCTTCTTCTTGACGGTCCTTTGAGAAATGCGCGTCCAAGCACTCATAGATCCTGAGAGGTTCGTTCGCATTCTTTATATTTGTCCTGAAAAACAAATAAATTGACCCGTAAATTGGGCATTAAAACTTCTCTCCCCTTCTTTTTAAGTTTATACTCGGAATATTTCTTCTAATAAACCGGGCATCGCTTTCCGCAAATTTTCCGTAGGCATATTCCCTATCGGGAAACTAGTTTCTGGAATATTCTATCTTGGACAATTCACCTGCGCTGGTAAAATTGCCCTTTCTACTAATGAAATCCCTGTATATTTTCACTCATGGAGTGACATTTTACCCTAACAAATGAAGTAAAGGTTTATTAAAAAGTTATCCTGGGCCTATCTTCAGAATATTCGTCCGCAAGAAAATATTCTGATCCTGACTTCTATGAAATATTCTGTACATTAGCTTCAGTTATTTCTGGCCCGAAAGCCTACCTCAGTACTGTTCTCCTCTAAACAAACTTTCCGACATTAAAAAAAACTAGCATCCATGTTAACTCACCCCTAGTATCTTCGAGTTTCGAGAATTTTTTTGTAAGCTTTTCCTTGTTTCAGGGATTTTGTTTTATTTGTTGCATGCGTTTCGGAGTAAATTTTTGTCAATCAACTAATTGGGTGTTTATTCGAATCCTTTGTGCGACCCAGATATAGTTTTCATGCCAGATTTTTCTATTTGTGCCCAAGATTTATTTCAGGTGTTAATCAAAAGATTGTGTAATAAATTCTTTGTTTCGGAAGTTGATCGAGGCCACGGTATCTCTAGATTTGAGCAATTTTAAGTCATTTTAGGATTTTTCTCGGATGTGTACGAGTAGAGATTATAAATGGAGCCTAGTATTACTGAACACCACCGAACAACATACCAAAAATTCAAAAACTTTGAATGTTTTGCAAACTACCAACCAACCTATGCTGACTGCACTAAATACCAAATTCCATTTTGATTTGTTTAGAGCTAGCTGGACAGACGTTTTGTGGGTGGTGCAGTGGCTGCATACCATTGCATATAGCAATATGGATTTGGAACTCCCCTCCCGTGAAGGAGAATCCAATAAAACAGCCTCAACGAAAATTCGTTATGAGAAAACTAGAATGCAGCAAGTGAACTAGCTCACAGGCGCCTGCGCCCTCTATCAAGATTATAAGCTAATTCGTCCCAGAAACTGTAGTTAGAATGTTAATACGACCCGTTTCATCCTTTGCTCTGCAATAAAAATCGTCCCTGAAGTTTTTGTTAGTCTTCCCTCACCTTTTTCTCAGGTCCCTCTCAAGTTCCATTCAAGTTCTCCTCAAGTTCTTCAACCCAACCTCGAATATTCTCCTTGCAAATTTGCTCTTTAGATTTCTCCTTGGAAGCGTTCAAGAATACGTACGGATACTCGGCCCGGTTCCGGAATATTCCACACCACCTGCCCTCCCAAGCTCCTAGTACCGACATTTCGAAATTCGACACTAGTAGTGTCTTGTTTGAAACAGCCTCCAGTATAGTCGCGCTTGTAATATTCGCACCCGAAATACTCGTCTGAAGTTGACGTCCAATATATGACTGTAGTGTTTTCCTGAGCTTACACATCATGTTTTCTTCACTTCCCAGATATTACTCAAATTCCCCTCAAGATTTCTTCTTAAAACTATCTCTGAATTTCCCATCAAATCGTACAAGGAATTAGACCAGCTTTAATGAACGCTTGATGGAAGCCACCAGCTTTATTGAACACCCGATACTTCGACGAACTCAACCGGGCGATTTCTTACGAGACATTGTAGTTCCGGACCTTTGTGTCTTTTCTAGGAAGGAGAAATAAAAGGTAAAAGTAATGTTTCTCGCGATGGCACAAAATTACGCAATCCGCCGGTAAACACAATGCCATTTAAAAGTGTTATCTGCGCACAAATAACGCGAGGCAACTAAATTACGTGATGTACGCAGACCGTTTCAGTGCTGATTGGTAGATATCATTGAAGAACATCCTAAACCCATGGTCATCCGAGTATAAAACTTCGTATTTAAGTACCTCAGAAAAATCGCCCCTGGAATCATCATTTGCTCCTGGAAATTTTGCTTTGGAATATTCATTAAGAATGCAAGATCGTATTGATAAAGGCACGAAATCCAAGAAAATTCGCTTCCCAGTACCCCAGGAATATTTCCCTTGGAATTGTTCCGACCTCAAAATTTGGTCATCGGAAATATCGTTTCGGAGTATTCACCAAGATCGTAAAAGGTCGTATTGGTAAAAGTACGGAATATTAGACTCCAAGAAAAATCGCCCCCGGAATTATTTCAGTCGAATGGTGTGCTCTTCCAAAAATTTTGCTTTGGAATATTCAACAAAAATGTAAACTCATATTACTCAAAGCGCGTAATATTAGCCTCTAAGAAAATTGTAGTACAAGTACTACCTCAGGAAAATTGTCCCTGAAATTGTTCTAGCGCAAATGCTTGCTTGTCAGGAATGTTGTATTGGAATCTTCACTAACAATGTAGGCAAAATTGTATTGGTAAATACGGAACATTAGCCTCGAGGAAAATTCGTCTTCAAGATAAGTCGCTCATCTTCCCAGGAAAACATTGTACTCCTCACTACCATCTACAATAGCACGATATATCTATGCTATTTTCCTCTTCAGCCAAATATGCTGTAATTATTATGATAGCAAAGCCTGGCAAAGCACCAAGAGAACCAACTTCATATAGACCTATAAACCTTCTCTCACTAATGTCGAAATTATTTGAAATGATGATCCATTAGAGGCATCTGAAAACCTCCAGAATCACCTTGATCTCCTACAAATCTGCTACGACAATTAGTGTGAACAACGACAAATCCACCCAAGACACCTTTATCAGCATTCAGCAAGCGAAGTACGAAGTATATGTACATATGTCCACAGGTCATAATTAACAAAACAGAGATACCAGTAAAATCAGAAGTTAAATATTTAGGGATGCACCTCGATTAGAGACTTACCTCAACGTCAAAAAGAAAACATCTTGACTTCAAAGTTAGAGAAATGAGCTTGCTAATTGGAAGGCGATCGCAACTTTCCTTAGAAAATAAAATTTTCCTCTAGAAAGTCATTCTGCAGCCAAGTTGGACGTTCGGTATCCGACTATAGAGATGCACAAAACCGTCAAACACTAAAATACTACAGCGTTTCCAGTCCAAGATACTTCGCATGATGGCAAACGCTCCTTGGTACGTCAATAACCAGACCTTGATTGAAGACCTGGGGTTTCCATGTGTTTCCAGTGAAATCAGAAGATGAGCAACTGCTTATCACTACTCCCTTGTAGGACATGAGAACGATCTTGTGAATCAACTAGTCCAAGACCCATTCACACCAAGAAGACCAGTGGCCACACGATCTCATACCTCAGGCCCAACTTTAATCCTTTTATTTGACATTAATAGACGCATCTCCATCAAACCATCAAATCGGACATGAAAACTTACCTCCAGAATATTTTTCTTAGAAAACTCGTTCGTTGGTCCCCATCCGGAAATCGCAACGCACGAATTTTGTTTTGAGAGAAAATTCACCTGATTTTAGGGGCGAATATTTCGGGGGAAAGTGAGATTACTCGCTGTTTACTAAATGACGTTTCGTATTACACTTGGAAGTCAAGGCTAATTTTTCTCTTTGGCCTTAAACTTCCATAAGAAAAACGACGACTATCCTCTGTACCTAATACTTAGGTACTATTTCTGATTCTTGCTAGTTTAATTACCTAATTAGTTGTTTGACTTGAACTACGTAATTATTTGCTCTCCCAATATCTATTAATGAGGGTTACGGATGGTTAAAATACAATACTCATACACTTCTAATTACATCACTCCATTATTATCTCATGCTCATCAAACACATACTTCCTGAGGAAAGCATTTGTTTAGCCCGACCTTTGTTTCTTTCTTAAATATGATCACCTATTGCACATCCGACAGGCGTCTTTTTTTTTGTAATCTGCAAGCAAATGGGATTCAGTAAAGCATGATCGTTTGATCAAAATGTATCGGGAGTGCGTCTTCTTGCTGATGATCTTAACTATAAATTCGCGTTCCAAACCGCTCGAATCAAGCGAGATCTGTAACAAAATTATAAAAAACGAACGGTACGAAATCAAATCTTTTGGTTTATCTTATAATTGCAGTTACGTATTTAAGGGACCTTCTTGTCCCACTTTCTTTAACGTTAAGTTTATTGAATTTGATTTGAGACCGTTTGCGGGATGTAAAGGTAGCAGTTTGGAGGTGGTCGGTAACGAAGTTTTGTGTGGGAGAATTCACGGAACTAGGACTTACTTTTCCAGTGAGGGGATGTTGAGAATGAAAATCGTGTTGAAAGGCAACTTCTCCGACGATTCGTATAAAATATTGGTCACGAGGATGCCTTGCTTTGTAAAACCGCGAGACGATACAAACGTGTCGCGAATTGCTTTCAAAAGTGAACGACACCCTTCCTGTTGCGCCGGAAGATACGATGCAAAACAGTTTTATATGACAAGTCCCAATTTTCCGTATAGTAATAACGTTCAAGATCGATGCGTGTACGACATTTATAAATTTTCACCACACGTGTGTCGCTTGCAAATTCACTTTTTGTACTTTTCGCTCGATGGACAGACGGGCAATACGTGTCACAAGAGTTTTCTGCAATTAGACGATAATTACTTTTGCGGTTGTCGCACTGGATTGCACTTGGTAATGCCGTTTAATTCGAGCACGAAGACGATTACGTTTAAAAACGGGCAATGCCGCGGCGAATTTACTGGATTTGTAATTGAGGTAACGCAAGAGGAATGCCCATCGTTCAGCGACGAGCCAGCACTGTATATCAGCGAGCCTAATTTAAAAATGGCACGTCTGACGCAAGAAGACATCTACTCGGATAAATCCGAGCCGGATGTAGTGAAACATGTTTATGTTTTTGAAGATACCGGTGATAACGAGAGAAGTGATAAGGAGGACGTCGTTTTTGTCCCGAATGATGTATATCAGTGCAAACCGTTTGATATCACTCGACTGAAAGTGTTGACCAAGTCCAAGGATATTTTGTGGCAACAAATATCCCAATGTAGCACCTTCAGCAGTAACTCTTTTCGCTCGCAATGTGTCCAGGCGAATTTAATTAAAGGATATATTCAAAGCCCGGAATATCCCTACTTTTATCCCAAAGGACTGAATACGTGCTACAGGTTTGTAGGCATTTCTCGATGGCTGAAAATTTACGTATTTATTGTACAGATTCGAATCACTACGCGGATATTGTGCCGTTAGGCTTTATATTCTCGACTTTGATGTTGACAATAGTTTCCACTGTGAAAAGGATTATTTTTTACTAAGCGGGCAGTACAAGTACTGTGGACGGACTTTACACAAAGCTTCATGTGAGTAACGTTAATTATGAATATTCTAACCATCCTATATTGATCCGAAATCTGCAACTAACCGGACAATTAAATACTTTCCTCTTTTTGTGTTTTAGGGTTTTAAGCAAAACGCTTCATCTTGCTCATTAGAACCACGTGCTTTAAATAATACCAATTGAAGTCTTGAAGACTGTTTGAGATTCACACGGGTTCTTGAAAACTTATAAAAGCTACAAAAGGTTCTTCAAAACAAGCTTCTTAAATATTTTTATGTCTTACTAACCTATAAGAGCACATTTTATATATCTGTGATACACGGGCATAAAGTACCACTTTATGCCCTAGGGCATTAAGTATCACCATAGTAACTCATTTATACTTAATGACAAAACAAACAAAGATATGCAGGTCATTGAAAACTAGAAACGTCAATTATTAATTGTTAATACCTACTAAATCACAAGATTGACATTTCGTATAGTTTCTGGAACTTCTTGGAAATTCACGATGAATTGAATTATTTAAAATTACGTTTGACGTTTGGATGGTTTCAATCACATTAATAAATTCGAACCACGCATACTCGATCAAACATAATGAATTATTTTGTAAACGAATTTTGACGAAGAAAACTATTTGTAAAACATAAAATTGTGTATGTACCACGGGCATAAACTATGTTTATACTCTCGGGCGACTAAAAAGCTCTCGGGCCATAGGCCCTCGAGCTTTTTAACTCGTCGCCCTCGAGAATATAAACATCACTATTATGCCCTTAATACATAAATAACTATTACAAGAATTATCAAGGCTCTTATAGACTATGCCATTTAAAAGTTATCAAAACCGCACTGGAACACGCTTGGAATTTGTTGAAGACTCTTGAAAACCTGTGGAGGTTTATAGAGGCTATTAAAAAATCTGACTCTTAAAGACACATTAAGATTTTTAAAGACATCTCAATCCCTTTGAAGGTACCCTTCAAGGATCAAAAGACTCTTAAAAACCTGTTAGAGATTTCCAGGTCACTAAAAGACTGTGGCGACTATTGTGATTCATCAACGTTGCTTATTAAAGTTTCTAAAAGATTTTTATAAGCTCTTAAAGACTAATAAAGGATTCTATGTGTTCTGAAATGTGCTTAAAAGCCTCTTGAATGTTATAAGTTCTTGGAGACTTTGGAAAGGACTACTACTTTCTTCTATTATTGAACTATTGTACCCAGTTCCTCGTTTTTCTACAGTCCGTTAGGTTTGTTCGATACCATGTAATTATTCAAGTTCCGCTACTTCTTCTATGTGCTTTGTTGCTCCACTTCCTCTACGCCTTCCACTTTCCTCAACTCTCCCACCTCCGCTACTTCCTCTACCTGCCTTCGCTTCCCAAAATTTCTTCATTGCCTTCAATACCTCTACTTACTTCCTCTTTCGCTTCTGCTTCTTTTATTTCCTATATTTTCTCTAGTTCTTCCCGTAGTTTCTGTATTTGCGGTAGTTTCTTATCTCTCTGACTTTTGTGGGTTCTCTGGTTTCACTGAATTCATCACTGTGGTGTTACTGGCTTCCCTAGATACTTTAGCTTCCCTTGTTCATTTTCTATAGTTTTCCTAGCTTACCTAGTGTTCCTAGTTTCCTCTGTATTTCTAGGTCTTCCACATTTTCCCGCTCTAGTTAGGTACTCCAGTTTTTTAAAGTTTATCTATGTTGTGTAAGTTTATTCGTTTCTCTTTCTTCAGTTTTCTGATTTATTTTGTTCCTCCAGAATCACTAGTTTCTCTAGTTTTTTAGTTTTAGTAATTTCTCCGGATGAGCTTTTCCATTTCTTTATTTTCCGTAGTTTTCATAATTTTCGTATTTTTGTTGTTTTCCTATTTCTTCAGTTTTTTGATTTATTTTGTTCCTCCAGAATCATTCGTTTCTCTAGATTTTTGGTTTTAGTAATTTCTCCGGATTAGCTTTTCCATTTTTTAGTTTCCGTAGTTTTCATGATTTCCATATTTTTTTATGTTTTCCTATTTCTTCAGTTTCTCTGGTTTATCAAGCTCCTTTAATTTCCCTAGTTTCCTTAGTTTTCTTAGTAGTAGATTAACAAGGGAGTACCGGAACCGTTCAAGGTCACTCGTGGTGCCCTCGCTAAATAGGTCAAGGCGAAGATCAAAGATCATTCGGCTCCGCTCTCCTATGGTACTGACCTTGGAAGGTCAGTCAAGGTAAAGATGAACGATCGATCTTTAATCTCCCAACGTCAATGTCCCCATTTACTTCAGTATTTCAATGTCATGGTTAAAAAGGATCAATGACTCCATTTTGTTGTCACAATTCATTTTCAAGGTCATTGAACTCAAATCGAACCCAAACATTAACGCGAATCGAACCCAAACGTGGGTCAGCTCCAGACGTTAAAGCCAATTGAACTTTCACATTTGGGTTCGAGTTCACGTTTTGGTTCGTTTTCGCGTAATTAGGTTATTGACTTTTGATGACCTTGACATTGAATTATGAGCGTATAGTAAATGGCGTGATTGACCTTTGGGGGCGACAAATCGATTCCAAGGTCATACACTTTTCAATGCTCCTATACCAGAGAAGAGCGGGAAGAGAATTTCCTTTGAACTTCAACTTGACCTACTTTCTGAGATCACGCCATGTAGGGCACGACCTTGAGCGGTCCAGCTACGCCTCTGTTACTCTACTCCTAGTTTATGTAGGTTATCAAGTTCATTCAGTTGCTGTATTTTTTGTAGTTGTCGCAGTTTCCGTAGTTTTCGTGGCTGCCATAATTTTTCCATAGTTTTTTTTAAGTTCCTTAATTTCTATACTTTCTTTAAATTTTTTCGCTTCCCCAGTTTTTCTAGTTTCTCTACTTTTCCTAGTATTTCTGGCTCTACAACCTCTTGTACAGTTGTTATAGTTTCTCGAAGTTTCTTTAAATTTTTCGATGTTCGATGTGCGAAGTCGATCCAGTTTTTCATGTTCCTCAAATGCCCTCTACTTTCCCTTGTTTTCGTAGTTTCCTTAGTTTATCTCCGTTCGTCTAGTGTTGGTTGCCGCAATTTTCGTAGTTTCTTTAGATTTAGGTGTTTCTGTGGTTTCTCTAGTGCCAGCAGCTTTATCTAGTCTCTCTTGTCTCTGTGACATCTCTTTCTGCGTTGTTTTTCTGGTTTTCGTAGTTTTTCCAGTTCCTCTATCTTAATGTGGTCTCTAGTCTCTGGCATCTATCTGACACCGTTGGTATTTATTTATTTATTTATTTATTTATTTATTTATTTATTTATTTATTTATTTATTTATTTATTTATTTATTTATTTATTTATTTATTTATTTATTTATTATTTATTTATTTATTTATTTATTTATTTATTTATTTATTTATTTATTTATTTATTTATTTATTTATTTATTTATTTATTTATTGCCCTACAGGCTTATCGCCCAATTACAGGACAATTCCATTAACAACAGTACACTTAGTAGTTTCTTGCATCACCGATCGCTCTGGTCTCACTGATTTTCCTAGTTTTTCTAGTTTCTCCGAGTCTAACACTTTTTCCCGTTTCGCTATTTTCTTGTTTTTTTCTTTTTTTCCACGTTGCCTTAAGTTTCACTAATTTATCTAGTTTCTTTAGCTTCCGTAGTTTTTCCAATTTCTTTGGTTTCTCCAGGGTCCGTAGTTTTTCTGGTTTTCGTAGTTTCTTCAACTTTATCTAGGTTCTCTTGTCTTTCTGGCATCTTTCGTCTCTTTGGTATCACCGGTCTTTTTGGCCTCACTGGTTTTGTCCCTCAGTCCCTCTGGTTTTCCTAATTTCTCTAATTTTCCTAGTTTCCTCAGTTTTTCTACTTTCCCTAGATTCTCTGGATGTACCACCTGTTCCTGTTTCTCAGCTTATTCAGTTTTTCTAGTATCTCTAAGTGTCTTCATATTCTCTGATTGTTTAGTTTAATTAGTTCGTGTAATTCCATCAGTTGCTGTAGTTTCCTTAGCTGTAGCAGTCGTGGTTTCAAGTTTGTGTAGTTTTTCCCAGATTTTTTTTCAATTCTTTATGCTACTCGTGGATTTTTAAATAATCGTTTCTCGAAAAATGCTTTCCGAGACCCGAACCGGATTGTAGAAAGATTCGGCTCCGAAAAGTTCGGCTCCAGAGTATTCGTCTCTGGAAATTTGGCACATGGTGAATTCGCCTCCGCCAGAATAGTTTCTCACCAGGAAATAGCTCCAAGATAAATTCACGTTCAGGAAAAGACCGATGTAAAAATTGCAAATTTTCTTGGACGACTATTTGAGAGGAGAGCGAATTTACCGGTACTGATGCCATTATGTAAAGAAGTGCAAGCATAACCGAAATGTTCGGTTGTCCGATCGCTCGCTCGCTCGTTGGATTCATGTCCATCGAAAGAGAACGGATGGACCGATTACGACGAAAATTTGTAGGTGGATTTTTTATCAGAAGATTTGCAGATCGGAGTTCGTGAAATGGAAATGTAGGCCGAAAATAAGGACGGCCCTTTTGACATTTGAACATGAAATTCAAACGCGGCATAGCTTCCACGATATAATACACAATGCCAAAAGTTGAGCCTAATCGATTCAACATTCACAGTGCCTTTTTGACGCATTTTTGCATATTTCTAAAAACTTCAAACGCGATTTGCGAGTGAACGGGGCGTCGGAGTTGGGAATATGGTAGCCCCCGACAAGAACAAGAACTGGTGGTGGAGTTAAAACTAAAACTAAAAAATACTGAACTGTCACACAAAAATGCGCTGAAGTCCCTTCGATTTCACACGAAGACTTTGATAATCTTTATCATCTCGGCCATTTATGAACCGAATTGCATGAAATTCAAGCTGGGAATAGCCAGTAATATATCAAACGTACTGATGTCGCTTTGGCACTTTTGATTATGTATCGTAAGGATGCATGTACTCGTGTTAGCGTGTCTTTATCTAAGGTCACGTCTCTCCAAAGTGCGGGCCTACGGTAACAACTTAACCAAGATCCATTGAACCTAATGCGACTTTCCGTTCTCAAGATGTCTGCATTAAAAGGGATCTGTAATGAAAGAGGTCGACTTCCAGGCTTCTCAATGCGTTTTTAGCGATTTTATTATTGAGACGTTTACCGTGCGATCTTCGCACATGCTACGAGAATGCGTGATGCCTCGTTGGAAAAAGCGCACTACATGGCAGCATGTTTTCCTAATTACATCTTTTCTCTAACGGTATCGTTGGCGAACTGCGAATTTTCTTAGTCAGTCGAAAAACCTAACTCGTTTGTAATGCGCTGTTGTTTTTTGAAAAAAACGGCGTGTTCGCAGTGCGTGTTACTATAGAGGCAGATATTAAAAACCTCTCCCGCCTCTAGCGTATAGTTTCAATTGCGTTTCTAATTTTATATTCAAAGGTTACGGCAAGTAATTACGTACACGATATGACTTATATCGAAAATATTCTAGATTTACTATAATATAATAAATTAACGGCAAGGCTAACATTATTTGTCCTTTTGTCTTGGTAATTTATTGTAACAGAGGTTAGCTGCTACCCTGGCTGCGCTACGTGTCCTCTGAAAACCTATAAGCAGATTTTAAGTTGAATAACTATATCAATTAATTCTCTAGAATAAACATTTGAACACAAAAGTAATCAACGATTGAAAAAAAAATTCTTTGCTGCTTGCTAACTTCAGTATTAACTAATAGTGTAGGCGTATTGTGACACTATCATGTAATATAATATTTTTTTCTAATTCAGTGACATTCGATCTACGTAACCGCGACGAAGAGATTGCTTTTATAACAAATGGTTTTTCGTGTAGGCGAGGTTTCAGGGGTGTTTATGAGCGGATTCCTTGCAATAATGATGGAATCCCCGTTGATCCTGTACATCCATCGAAACCTACCACTTTGACGCCTATAACTTCGACTCCTACGATAATGCCGCATAAACCATGTGACCGAAATATAAGGGACAATGTATTTTTATTGGAAGTTTACGGTTACCACCAATCGAGATGTATTTTTAATATTATTAGAAATGACGAGGTAAGTATAGCATGTTTGTTAATGCTTGTACTTACACAAGGTGGTTGTTTCAGAGAGTGTGTAGTTTACTGCTTAAATTTGAGCAGTTCAGTCTCTCCTGTAAATTTGAATATTTGCTGATTGGCAATACGCGGTACTGTGGAAATCGAAATGGAGAAAGCGGTAAGCGAATTATTTTCATACAAAGCAACAAATACATTTCCGGCTTTTTTTCTATTTATACGTAGTAAAATTCCGATTAAACGTAAAGTAAAAAAATACGACAGACAATAACAAAATTAGGAATATTTTGAGTAGATAAAAATAGAGGTAATAGGGAAATACCATTAAAACTGCAATATTTTTTCTTACTACACATATGAACCCATGAAGATAAATATTTTTGTTTTGGTTCAGTGTGAGCAAAGTATCTGGAGGTCTTGACATTGATCTCGTTTGTAAGATTAGGCACACATTTTTGACTTAGACCAACTCAAACCAGTTCCAATAATAGCAAATTTATGGTATAGCCAACGGTTCGTATCTTAACAAATTTTGTTCGTTATATTTTAAAAGTCGACGACATCTTATACTTTATTAATGATATTTGGGCCATGAGCTTCCTATTTTGGTTTATTTAAGTGGCACAGAGATTCTAACATTTCAACCTGAACCGTTCATGCGGAGTTCCACAAGGTTTTATTTTGGATCCGTTTCTGTTTATGATTTATGATTTAGGTCTAATCTTTTGAAATATTGGCAATTCCTTCTAAATAAACTACGCAAGTCCGAAAAGTTACGCTTGGGAGCTAGGACCCCAAAAGTCTCTTTTTTAACTTCTTTTTCAGCATAACACAGACGGTTTTTGCATATGGCCGTTGTCTTTTTATAAAAATGAGTTTGGTTTCGTAATCTTATTGATTTTGTGATTGAATATTGAATTTTTCAGCGAAAATGCTTGCACAGACTCTTCAAATTCTTAGCTTTTTTAGATGCTTGTTTCTTATTTCTTTGTTCCTTTACCACTTTTCGTATTGTAACGTAAATTTAGTTATGATTTATTTATGTACACTAACTAATGAATTTGTAACAGTCCTTAAATAGATTGATTTATATCCAGTTAATAATTATTTATCATTCACTTTTACTCAAATTTAACATGTAGGTTAATAACATATGATCACGAATGTCAGTATTTATCCCTACTCATCAATTCGGTGTCGATGTTGGAACTAACTCAATCCGATTATATAGCAGACGAAAATTCTTCTAGAGGGTTCTCGAACACATCATATGTTCCGAAAAGAATGCGTTACATCTGCCTTCATTCCTTATCGCCAGTGACTGGATGGCGCCCCGATGTCGCCAATTTAAATCTTTCAATACGTCATCAATTCTAACTGTCGCAAGGTTGACGATGTGTCTATCAGGTCAGTTCATAAAATACTGAAAAAGAACAAGTTTTTCGCACACATTGTACAAGTTTTACATATAAGAACTAGGCGTCGATGATTACCGATTGGAGAATTCACTTCTGCGAATTAATAAGAATGGATGATCAGCATTTCAGTTTTTGGCTATTCCAGTAAAAAGAATGTTACGGCTATTAAAATCATGCGTCACTCGATGAGGGGTGCATATATAATTTTAAAGTGGAGGTAGCTGGAGATGCGGGATTGAATGTTAAGACTAAGGTAAACCTTCCTCTGGCTACTTAGATGGACGTCTTTTTGCAATTTTCGATTTTTTATCAATTTTACAAATGACAATAATTGGTGGTGCGCTTTGAAATTGAAAGCCCTGTATATTAAAGTTTGTGATGGAATTTCAAGGTAGGTATTAGGTAAATGCTGAGTAATACCCATACCTACATTTGCAGGATTTATTTTGGGTGTTATTGGTTTCTTCAGCTAAAAATTGCGAATAACTTTGCGCGCCATTTACGGGGAAATAGTGGGATATTAGTTTTCGGTAAAGAACAGTTTCCATAGTTTTGTAATTGTTGTTATAAAAATACAGATTGTTAAACAAGGTGAGTAATTTTTTGTCGTCAACAAAATCCAGTTAAAGTCAAGATCTCAACACAAATAAGTGATGAAATTTTACCAAGAATCTAAAAATGTCTACAGAAAAATACCAAAATGCTACGTCATCGTATCTTATGAAATCGGTAAATAGCTGCACGCTCCCGCAATTTATTTAAATGTTGGTATTGTTGCAGCTGCACTTACATTGACCTATCTTAAATCGTATATAGTATAAAAATATGATTTTGTTATCAAAACGCGGATATTACGTACATAAGTATATTTCCAGCAAAATATTAACACTAAAGATTCCATCATGACGACAATTGGTATCGTATAGTTATTGCCATTTCCATTTTGTTTTGAAAAGTAATATTCCATACTTAATGATTTAACGAACTCGAGGTACGTGGACCAATCAGTTCGTCACCACCACGTCAGATGTGCGATAAGATTGGCAAAATAGTATTTTTTCGTTCTAAGGGTGCTGGTCCTAGTACTGCGGCCTCAATGTATATTGTACTATCTATCCTTATCATCACCGGATCGTCCTCGTCTCGGGGAGTTAATTGAAACTTGTAATGCCGTTCCCCGAATTGTCAAAATAATTAGTTTTCAGCTTGGCTTTCAGCTTATGTTGCTTCCAATTGCTTTTGCATTTTGTACCAACATTATAGCTACAGGGTGGAGCAGGGAAGTATCCCTACTTTTGAGATAGCGTTGTGAGTAGTGGAGACGTGTTGGAGTTGGGCTAAGCTCGAATGACGCTGTGGCCATGGATTTTTCCGTTAGTACCGCTGTCAGTTGTGGACATGGCTTGGTCGAATGAGCAACGCGCTTTTGCAGTCGAGACGTATTTTTCTCAGAATAAGTTTAATATAATATGTTGTAGTGCAGCCTGCGCTGCGAACTCGTTGTCGGATTCGCAACCCTATTCCTGACACAAAATCCATTTTGTTGTGGGTGGAAAACTTCCGTGCATATGGTAGTGTACAGTGGTCGAAGTGGCAAATATTTTTTACCGGTATGGCTGAACTGATAAAATCTTAGTATTGTATGTATGCGTATATTATCATGAAAAAATTTTATCCGTTATGCCTATGTGGATAAATTTATTACCGGTATGTTTCACAAAAACCAAAAATCTATCGGTATGCCATACCGCCGCATACCGCCTCACTTCGACCACTGGTAGTGTAGTGAAAAAGGAAAGTTGGGGCCAGGGTTGGGGCTCAAAGGACCGTCCGAACTGCAGAAAACAGTGACCGTGTACAAGTAGTGTATTGACAAAGAGAGACATTACTTGAATGATGTGTTGTTTAAAACAAAGTAAAATTATTATTAAAATTAACTTCCACCTGTACCCTTTTGATGACCCAATAAAGTTTTACCTTCAAAATTAGGATACTTGTACTTTCCTGCCCCACCCTGTAGAAGTGTTAGTCAGTCTATTTTATTCCCCATTAGTACAAAGAGCGCGATATAAATGAGTAACTTCTCACTGTGGCAATTGGCACGAAAATTTTTGCTATCTAGAACAAAACAAAATCACTATGCGAATAAATTTCATTCGTTCTCAGGAAAAATGGTACTTAACGTAGAACCAATACGACACAATTAACAAATGCATAAATCCGTGCATTTTTAGCGTAGGTATATCCACAAAATGAAAAAAAAGATGCGCTAAGTGATCACTTTGTTCGTCCGTCCGTACGTCCCTACCGCTGTATCACTATCAGGTCTTTCTCCTAAGAGCCATTGCTCTACTTTTTTCGCAATTTGAATCGTTATAGTGTCGAGGATTGCATCAAGAAAGGAATTGTTCCTGCTCTGGCTCTTACAATATTGAGCTAATCCGACTTAGCCCGCAACAACCGCAAAAATGGCAACAAATCTTCAACAGTTATTTAATTTGCAAACTAAATGTGGCGTCCCTAATGAATCGAGCAATAACTAATGTAAAATGTTAAAAACCATAATTATATTATTGAAACAATAACCCCACTCTCCCTGTATAACTAAATACGGCAGCCTGATTTATAAATTTCAAATAAAAATGAAAATCGTATTAATGATTGTAATTGTTTTGCCCCCCCCCCTCTTCCCTCTCTCTCTCTCTCTCTCTCTCTCTCTCTCTCTCTCTCTCTCTCTTTCTCTCTCTCTCTCCGCGACTACAAACGCAATTTCTTTCAAGGTCTGTAACGGCTTAGTTATATTTACAAGAAGAAGAAGATCTCGCTTGCATTGGAACTTCTACGGCACTAGGAAAAATTTTAATATGATAATTAATTTTTATTTGACCTACGGCTAGCTCAGTAATAAAATGTTGTTCTTATACACCTTACCTTGTGGAAGTTTGGCCTCTTATCAGCTCCTCTTAAAACCTGAAGATCAAAATCTAATGCTTTGGTTTGATTGATCAGATCACATTAGTTAGTTGAAAGATATTAATAAAAACAAAAGCGATCAATTTCCATTTTCCTTTACACGTTCCTGGATGTTAAATACTGGTTTGGCTCATAAAAAGGAATACAAAAAATGCAATGCCTATCTGCCATTTTTTTAATACTTAAACTTAATACATTCTTGGTACATTCTCCCCACTGAAATTAAATACAAAACTCCAAATCAGTGAAGCAAAACAAGCCAAATCCTTTGCTTGGATCCGGTTCGTAACAATAAATACAATACAAAATCTGTTTCATGCAAATAATCTTCATTTTAGGAATATACATTGTGTTCATTTTAAAAGTATCCACCCTTAATAACTCTTGACTTGATACGATTATTGCTTTGAGTTCAACACGTCGATTTAGATATTGAGGCCGAAGTTAAAAAATGGTACCTAGAGAATGTCCCCTTCGTCCCCCAGCCACCCCACTTCTAAATTTGAAATTGATTTTATACCTCCCATCTTCTGTGTAGTCTATCTTAAGAACAAACCAATCGATTTCATTTTTGTTATCACGGTTGAATAGAGAATTTTATGCCCTTTCAAATGATGTATCATAAGGTAAAGGGTGCAATTTTAAATTTTGAAGTGGAATGGCTGGGGAGCGAAGGGATGAAACCTAAAATTTTGCAAGTACATTTTTTGAACTTCCCCCTCAATATCTAAATCGACGTGTTCCCACTCAAAGCAATAATCACACCAGGTCAAGAGTTATTTCGGGTGGATACTTTTGAAATGGACACACAGTGTGTAGTGAGGTCCCGTGAGAGTAGTAGAACCCAAATTTGAACGTCAAAAACCCTGTGCTACATATATAATGCTCGAAAACCCGGCTTGATATACAATATATTATTATTCAGATCTAATAAACAATAATGTTTGTTATGAATAAGTGCGTCATTTTGCTTTCAGATAAGGACGGTGTAAAGTTTTCTGTCTTGTAAAGGAATCAATCTAAAATTCAATGAACTTTATGTACTTTTGCTGCGCTTAAGTCACGTCTTTTGTAAAAGAACTTACGACATGGTGTTGTCTGCCTGCTGTGGCAATAAAACATCGAAACAATTTAATCACACCGACGCTTTGAAATTAATTTAACTTTAAGACTGGAGAAAAGGAAATTCACTGGACACAAGGAAATGTATTAAAAGGTTAAAATAAAGAACTGCAACGGTAGACGACAGAAGTTAACTTTGGTATTTTATCGTTATTTTTCATAAAACGATCATTACCATTACCGTCTCCACACACAATAACTATAAAGCTGAAAACACACATAGTTGGAGTTGCCATTGAAAGTTCTTGCGATTACTTTAAGTACTTGTAAGCACAGTGCTTCAATTACTTAAAAAATCGTAGGGTTTGAAACTATTGCTCGAAAGTTCTTGGTAATCGCACTTATCCCACACTTGCTGTCCTTTCTGAAACGCCCCTAACATTCTCTTAATTACAAATGGAATACTCTACGAAACCACTTTCTCTTGTAACATACTACTGAAATCTCTTCAAAGTTTTTTTTTACTTTCTCGTCACTGACAAACCAACAGATCAAAACGTATCGAATGGTTATCTTTAAAAAAATCAGTTTGACCATAAACCAGAAATACAAAGATTTCTCAAGGGGAAAACAGTTACTTTGAGTAGACACACGTGAGTAGATTAAGAAAAATTCACATTCATTAATATTTGGACACGAGAAGAAATATCTGACATGAAAACCCTATCCGGGCCGCACAAGGGATTTGAATAAACACCCAATTAATTGATTGACAAAGACAAAAATTTGTGGAAGAAAGAAGCTTACAAAGCGTATTTGGAATAAAACCCGGACGCTGACGTTCGACAAATAAAATGAGGAAGTCTTATAATTACTTACAGTTTTTTTTTCTCTTTTAGTAATCCTAATAATCTGGTTGTACAAGGTTTGCAGTAAAAAGGCTCAAACGCTTCTGAACGTCACTTTTCGTTAAAGCATGATGAATAAAATGACGAATTGCTGATGACTGTTCAGACACTACAAACTTCAACTTTAATAACAAGAGAACCTTAACAGAAGGGTTTCAACTTGACAGACCTTTTCCATCAAACGGACAAATCGGTTTAAACTTCTCACACAAAATTATTATAATAATGACAAACTACGTCTTCAAGTAATCAAATCCACAGACAGTCAAAAAAAAAAAATAAATAGCTTAAAGAAACCTACACGTTTTCTAACGGTCGCGAACCAGCAACCCCCCTGTTTTTGGTTGATTCCTGTATTTAAAGGAATTACCACTCCACTATAAAGTAATCTTCTTCCTCTGGACTTTCAAATAAGACCGCCAATCATAATTAGACTTGATAACTCCAGCTTCGCGTGCCACTTACGCAGAACTAATGCGCGTATCGTTGTAAACCTGGATATGTCGTTATCTTTTGTAACCGCGATAAAAACACGTGCGCTAATTAAATCTAGTCCTATAACAAAACCTCTTCGCAAACGACCAGATGTGCCTACATTTTAACACGCAATTTAACTTTTTACATAAACAAATATACATAAAGCAATTACTGCATCGATAGACTTAAAAAAAATAACACTAAGACAAATTCAAATGACATGAAATAACTTTGTGTTTATTCGTAAATAATCCCCCAGATTTACACCTGATAAAATGAAATACTCTCACATACAGGGTGTCCCGTCGTTACCGAAATAACGTCTGCATGTTTATGATTTGAACTATAGGTATACATACGAAAAAAGTAAATGTGAAACGCTTATTAAAGTTAACACAAAAAGAAATATGGCTATTCATATTGTTATTTAAATAAACCTCCGCCTTTTTCAGAGCACAATTATGTAATGAAATGCATCTGACGTATTCAGAACGCTTCTGACATGATTTTAATATTTTGATCACAAAATAATGGTTGAATATATTGACGGAATAAAAAAATCCAAATTTCACTTTCTTTTACATTTTTACTTATTTAAATATTTGTTATGTTTATGATGTACATTTGAAATCAATCCCTGGTATCGGGGCCACGTGTTCAATGAACAATAAAAATTATGACATTTTTTTCTACAAAGAATGTACACCTTATGGCTAACAAAGTTGAATCCATTTACGTTAAAATGTTCATTGAAACTGACTAAACCAATCTTAATGGAAAAGAAGTCAAATACTTGCTAAATTTTTCGGGCCACGTACGGAAGTGAGTTAGTGAATATAATTCTGGGAAGCTTCTTTGACAGAGCGAGGGTAAAATTTACAGGAGTTTTATAAAAGGACTCGTAAAAGGACTTTTAAGAGGAATGAGATTCTTATGGTTTTTTTCGTAGGGAGTTTCTAATGTGATTCTCTAGATTGTGGAAGGTTCGCGAAAACGTTACGTTGCCAGGGAGGTTTTATTTTATCTGTTCACTCGTTCAAGGTTTCACCATTTCACATTGTCACTTTTTCTTGAACAAGGTAGCGTAACGTTCGCGTGGTCTAAAACTGAATGTTTCTCTCTTGATTACCCGTAATGAGCTCTACGACGGCTCAAATCAAAACCAATTGAACGTAACGTTATCCTTATGGATTAATCCCTACTGATCTTTTAAATTTACAAAATAACCCACAAAATGGTGCCAGGTAATTAAATCGGCGATGGATGATTAATGATACGGGCCTTGTTCAGCCCCGCGATTCAAAATCACTAACTTCAGTAGGAAGTCGGAGCACAATAATGGTATGAAAATTAAACAATATAATTAGCGTAACCAAAATTAAAACTTAATTAAAAGAAAAATTATACATTTACAAATGATTGGAATTAAATCACACAAGCGAAAGTAGCTACAGTCGGCGGAAACTTGGGCGGACTCGAGCGCCACCAAAAGATTAAAGCCTTGCTTCTGGCCAAGGTCGGCGATTTTGGAACGGTCTCGAAGGTTTTGCACAATCGGTAGCCTCAGGCATTCATTGAAGAAACGGACGGAGCGCAGTCAAATTTTCCAAAACGATCCCCCTAAATCGTGAATCGTGGTGTCACGTTATATAAACTTCTCAAAATACGGTCGGAAATGTCAACCGGGCGGCTTATTCGGTTGTTTAGATCCAAAAATTAACACTTCTTTATTTAACTGTGAAACCTCCAATAAACATAGAAATATGTTCCGATTATTGAAGTGTTTTTTGTCGTTTTTCATGTTTGTTGCTGATTTATTTACTTTAACGACCACACACAGTACATCTTACCGCGATTCAAGAATGCTCTCATTGAAATCCTAAAAAAATCGAAGGGTTCTGCAAGTTTTGTATATTCTAGAAATTCCCGTATATACATTCTAATAAAGAATTCAAAAAGTATTCTAAAAGGATACTAAAAAAATTCGTAGAATATATAAGAAAATTCCAAAAAATTCTAAAATTCCAAGAGGGTTTTACTAAGACTATGGAATATTGTAGGGAGATTTTAACGGTTTTGATGGTTGTAAAGATTCCAAAAATATTCTAACAAAGAAGACAATAAGATTTTAAAAAGTTCCTAAGATAACCCTGAGAAAAATATGAGATGATCCTAAGGCCGAGAGGACATTCTGAGATAGGGACAAGATTTCTAAGAACATGGTAAACAGATTCAATGACCTTTCTAAGGATTTGAGATACTTTCTACTGGGATTTTAAGAAGAATCTAAGAAGTTTTTAAGAAGATTTGAAGATTCTAGGGATTCTACAGGCATTCTAAAAATATTCTCACATCTATCCATGTGCTGATAAATTTGGCAACTGAAAAAAACCTTTATCGCGAAAAAAGTAGACTTTGCAATTACTGTTTGGACTCTTTAGTTTTTATCTAACTCGGATTTAAAGCTTGCAGTTAAAAAACTGCTTCATGGCGGTTTTGTGAACTGACAAGGTCAATCCAGTGCGCTACCCACTAAAATATATTTTTTGCGCGATCGGTCATTTCTGACTATTTACCATGGATGTTTCTATGACAGTACGTAGAATTTACCAGTTGCTATGATTACGACGACGCCAAAATTACTTACCGATCTAAAAACAGAACAGCAAAAATACTTACCGACGCCTTTTTAAAAATCAACAGTCTTATATTACATTTAATCTTTAATTATTGTTAGGTACATTAAACGTACAATTTGTGCTGTTGTTTCCTATAGCAAGACGCTCATAAAGTCATAAAGGAAGTGCAAAGCTAGTAAACTACATCAGACACATGCACATTTTTATGAAATTATTAATTTCAATTTTGACATTTAAACTGGTTACCTAGTGATGTACACCAAACCACTTCGATTATTTCGATTTATTCTGCTCGTTAATTTCTTAGTGCATATTTATATTGGTTGGATAATTTTAATTTCGATCGCGCAAAAAATGTTATAAGCACGTCGAACGTTAAGGGTTACCGTTCTCAGACAATAATTATTGGAGTCGTCGCTTCGCTCCTCCTCCAAACAATTGTCTTCGAACGGTAAAAATCCCTTACCGTTCTCCATACTTAATATACTATAACGTTGTTTTAAATAATTCAGATTAGAATAAATTAGTTAGATTGGCTTGGGTTCCAAGCAGGTATCTCAACAATTTTTCAAAAATGATTTTGCATGGTTTTAGTCTTTAATATTAGAAATTGAACGTAATCAACTTTATTTTTAGTTACTATCGAGTTTGCTGATACCAAATTACCCATAACATATGTACGGTCATCAACACTTCCAGTCAAATCCAGTTTACGATTCCGGATTAGTGGCCGGCAGATGATCACGGACTGTGACCTTATTGATGGTAAGCATGGAGATATACTCTTTATATTTAGAATAGCACTAATCATGACGTTTCTGCATCATACCTCTGTTCATAGTTTTGGGCAGTACCATAGGAAGTTGGGGTGGATCCCTATCTATAAATCTGGGGTTTCGGTTATGTTTTGTTTGTAATTCAAAATTAACACTACTTATGTCAGTACTCAGTAGTATTTACCAGTTGTACGCTTTGATAAGTTAATGTAAGGACGATCTTTGGCACCCTAACCGGTTATAATCGGTTTTCATTCTCAGAGAGAATCCCGTGTACGATTTAACCTACATTTTATCCTTTTCCTGATTTTTTAACAATTACACGAGTAGTAATTTTTTTTGTTTCAGTCCCAACAGTCGAACCGGAACGATTAGTTGCGGGTAAAACGCCGATACAAAAAGATGCACCTAGCAAAGGTCAGCCAAGGTGCTCGAAAACAACCGACGCCTAATTTACACTTTTGTAGATATATGCGGACTGCTCCTGAATAGCAAGGAGGACCTCGCGTCCAAAATTTGCAAAATAATCAAAACGCAAATTCCTTCTTCCAAATGCATCCCAATAACGGAAAAAATGTCATGTGAGTTGAACATGATGATTTAATATTTAAATGATGAGACGTCTTTCAGTTATGATGCATCCAACCTCCAAGGACGCCTTGGGCGTCGTTTTTGGAAATAGGATAATGAGAGAAAGTATTACGGCGCACGAAGTTGCATGTAAAGACATATACACTGTTATTTTCACTTAATTAGAAGTGCAATTATATGATAACATTACAATTTCCGGTTTGAAATGTCGAAGGCTATACAGATAAACCACTATCACTAGACATAATATTTATTAAATGATAATTTGGTAAATAAACTAGTTCACGTAATTTTATATTTTCCAGTACGCTTTTTTTGGGTTGGCATTCTTCAAACCATGGACCTCGAACCTCGGTAAAATTTACACATAGCCAGAAGTTTTACATTGAAATTATTATGATACCCTTAAAATATATAATTCACGGCGGTTGAAGAATTAATTAGTCTTCTTGCAAAGTCGCATCGATTCCCATAGAAATTGTCTGGATTCAGGTTTCACTTAGGTGGAAGTTCGTATTCGAGGTACATATATAAAGTTGACAGTGATTCAACTGTGCGAAATATGAAGGTGAATTTGCAATAGATTTTTACAGCTTCAGGTTTCCTGACGGCAAGGTATGTCTTCAGACTTCAGTGATAAAGTTCATCGACGCGACGTCCGTGCGGCTTGGATTATGTTTGATTAATTTTGCGCAAATATAACTTTTCTATTTTTAGCTTATGCGATTGTACAACGAAATTAATTTGCCGTCGTTCAAGTTCAGAAAGAAAACCACTTCATACGCCGCTCTCTCCAAAATGCAGCTACTAGGTTACGATGTCACGTATTTCGCAAGGTGAATTAAGCAATGCGCTTACATGCTTCGTTGCTGCTGGATCGAGTTTTATTTATGGACCTCGTCCTTAGTCTAGCTCACACAGAATTTATACCGGCCCGCTTGATATTCTAGTCTTTTATTAATACCACCCTTAACTTCGTTGAGGTTGAAACTGCCCGCTGGCATTAACTTTATTCAAACTTTTTCGAACCAACTAACTTTTTAAGGTTTTTGAAGAGTATTTACTTTGATTCTTCCGCGTTTGAAATTCTCGCAAATGGTCCGTACTCTAAAGCGAGTGATGCTCGATTGTGCTACTCATATTTTTAGCGAACCACAATCTTAGTGGACGACCTACACGTTATGACGATTCGGTAGCTTTCCCCACCACCTTTGCACGAATCGTAACTACCTATTATTCAGCAGAGCTGATTCTCTCTCCTACTCCAAGCTATATATCACAACCCCTCAAAGTCCAACACCAATTAGGTAGGCAGAGAGGTGGCTAGTTCCCTAAGTATTCGTGTCGATAAAGTTTCCCTTATCATTTACCAGAAAACCGTGGAATCAGAAGTTGACCAAATGTCGACAACGTACGCCTCTGGAGTCTGCTCATGTTAATAACACTCATTTTATCACGTTTGATGAGTATCCGTCGAGTAGACCTCCGTTAGAACTCTCCTACATAAGGCAAATGAATGGATATAATATGAGAACGTCAGGTTGGAAGCAGGCCTTCGTTGTAATAATTCTGCCTTTGTTATCGTTATACTTTTCCGTAGATTGTGGGAACTTAAGCCTCATTCAGATAGGTGGTAGTGCAGTGCTGTTGTGGTGCGGTGCCGTTGTATAAAAGTTTGAAATACGCATACCCATATGACAATTCACAATGACATGTGCAGTGCATACGACTTGCAGCCGCTTGCCGAAAGTATGTAAACTTCAAACTTTCTGCACACTACGGTTAGCAAGCACCGATAGGAACGCATCATGTTTGTCATGGCAATCTGTCACAGCTAATTACATAAGCTCTTCATAGTGTTTGCGCGGGTTGTGCATTTAATTTATTGTTTGATTGATGGATTTTGACGATTTGCTGCTGCTATTGTTGTTTGTTGTTCATAATTTTGTTAGGTTAAAGTAAGCCGCACGCGTGGCGATTGTGAATGCAGATGTCAACATGACAACACCGACCCACACCCGCACCGCACACCAAGACAACGGCACTACACTACCATCTATCTGAATGGGGCTTAGTCGTTTATCTGCATGTTTATTGTGACGTTACAGGCACAGGATAAGGTTAGTTTGTTTACATTTTATACGTACCTAAATATAAACGTTTGCGTTTCTTTGAACAATTCGTTATATCGTTTGCGCGTAAGACTTTGGGGGTACATTATAGCTGAATTTTTTGTCATTAAAATATCCATTCAAATTGTGTATAGATTTAAGATAAATTTTTAAATTATGATTCGAATCTTACAGGGAATTGTTTTTTATTTAAAGTGTACCCTATAACATTTGCATCATAAATAAAGCAGGCGATGTATTACTTGCATTTGATAGTATTTATTGATTTGAAGATATAACTCAGGTAACGTATCGATTATACTTAGATGTGTACCCGCCTTTAAGTATTTAAGAACCAGATTCAAACCGTGTCGTTTCCGTTCGAAGATTTCTAAGTTTTTTTTTCTTTCTTTGGTTCATTTATTTTGCCTCCACCGTAGTAGTGATACTTTATGTTGACTTTAGGAACAAGGTACATACATTTGTTTTCAATTATTTGTGGTATTTTTTTTAAGTCAGTCTTATTTTTAAACTATTACGGTAATTCCTGCCCAAACGACCCTATTTCTACCATCTTGAATTTTTGGCGACGCTATGGGGATACGTAAAACACTCTTACCCAGTGTATAAAAACGATCAGCAGCAATATGGAAGTGCGACAGTCTTTAACGTCGGCACGTGATGTTATTTCCATCTACTGTGATAATGCAAGTAATAAAAACAATAATTTGCTGTAGATACCACCCGTACTTCTGCGTGTGCGCGATTCTGCCCTTTTATGTCTAAGAATATGTGTACCAAATTTGCGTCCAATCGGTTCAGCCTTTTAGCTGGAAATAAGAATACAGACAGACCGATGGACATCATCTGGGTTTTGTTTGAATCCGATCCCTGTGCTTCAAAACGTGTATTTCCGTAAAAAAAGTGGAGAGTCATTTTTTAACCCAATGCAATACCTCCCTTACTAACATGCGAGTGGTAAAAATAGATTAAGCAATGTGCAGAAAAAAAAATCTAACGTATAAAGATAGACAACTTAAGTTGCGCTTAAAACGCCTCGCACGATTATCTCATTAACTAGAAGGGAATACAAAAGTAAACCGGGCATTATCCCGCGCATTGTTACCCCGGCCCTAATGACAGTGATTAGGTATATACTAGTGCTTTTATTTACTAACATCCTATCAATAGGTTCCCTTAGGTACCTACTAAATGAGTCTAGTTTGGTTTCAGGTAATGAGTATAATGAGTATGTGGTATACATACGAAGGACAGCATCTTACGTAACACGCAATATTAGAAGTTCTAATGAATTAGATTGGTCACCAATTATCTCAATTTAACCCTAACGCCCTCACTCCTTGACTACGGACACCTACATAGCTTACTATAAATATATAAAATGTAGGTATATGTGTAGAACGATTTTCCTTAGTTTTGAGCGCACGTCATCCATTCTGTTTTTGGAGAACATTGTAATACTAACGTATTAAGAAAGTAAAAAAATCATTTTAAACCACAACGTTGGAATTACGTATCTATGAATTTCACAAAATATAGGTTCTTGAGGCGGAGTTGTGCGTTATTTAAACCTTTCACCTTTAGTGAAAAGGTTTTTTTTAATTTTCAGGTTACCTGTCAATCGAAATTGTGGTAGTTTACGTTTACATTGTGATAGGTCAAATTGGAGAACTGTCTGCTACATTAACCGACAAAAAAACCGTTAGTTTCATAACGTATAATAGAAGCATAGCTTCCGTAACTCTCACTGCGATTTTCTGCGCTAAAAGCTGTGTAACCCAAAAATGCCATCGGGTTTACTAAGAAAAAGTAAGCCGCTTATTTGTAATCTTATTCATTATTTTGAAAGAAAAAGAGATAATGGTGGTCTACTGTTACCAGTCACAGCAGTAAGTGAGGTGAGTGATTGCTTTAGTATATAAGAGTTCGTGTACGTAACAAGTTTCCGCATCGACCACCAATTAGTAACGTAGACCGACTCTTTCGTCTCGACCGTTGATTACCTTCGAAAATATTTTTCATATTAGCCGGTGACTATCATCGATCGCCTTACACACTCGAAAGGGGAACGGACATCTCTCGCATTTTTCATAGACCGCCTCCTCGTTATCGACCGCCGATTAACTTCGAACGCCTTTTTCGTATCAACCGGTGACTAGCATCGACTGCCTTATACACCCGAAAGAGGAAGGAATATCTCTCCCAAGTTCCATAGACCATTTTTATTACATTAACTCTTAATATACACGTTAAACCTAGCATATTTCAATTTAGTAGACGAAGCAGTTAACATAACATCTTACAAAAATTAGTAACTTCTGGAGATTTTTCAGTTTCACCAACTTAAAGAATGACGAAATATAAGTAACATAACCACAGATTACGACGAAATGATGTGAACTTTTAATTAAGATTGTGCAGGGACATTTTGTTTTGCATTTACCACGTAGTAACCTGTACCATTGATGTGGCCTATTTGCATATTTCTAAAGGGAGAGGCATTTTTCGGGAGAGCTAAGGCCAATTGTAACCTGAAATTACACGTTGATTTTATATTTTTGGATTTTTGTAAAGTAGTGATCGATTATTTTTAGGAGTTTACATACTTTTGTATAAATAATTTTAATATTCCTAAGGGAATCGACTCGTGAAAAGCATTTGCATGAACAGATTTTGTATTGTAGTTATTGATAAGAATGGAATTCAAACAAAGGATTTTAGTTATTTTGGATTATTGATTGGAATTTTGTCTTAAATTGCAGTAATACTAGCCCTTTGACTGGATTAAAACTGTGTTCAGTATTCAGGGCTGTATGTGTTAAAAAAGGGAATGTACCAGGAATTCATATGTGGTAAAGGTGAATTTTAGATGTAGACCAAATTTAGCATGGACACGTGCCTATTCATTAGAGTTCAATTGAATTTCAGATTTTAAGGGGAGATAAGAGGCCAAACTTCCGCAAGGTAAGGGGTATAAAAACATTTTTATTACCAGTGCCAGTGCAGTAGAGGTTCTATTTTATTTTATGCAAGTGAGGTCTTCGACTCTTGTAATGTGTCTAAACCCGTTTTTTAAATATTCTTTTATACCAGACACCTGTCGTCATAACAAAAGGAAATCAAAGAGAGATTTACATACTATTCCCATAA